CTGGTAGTTTTTATAAGTTTCCCATATGTTGCGAGTTCGCAGCTCTGAACTTTTGCCTCTGTCTTTTTTCTTCCACCATGAATCCTTCCTCCTAGTACCCCTGAGAAAGCTCCCAGTAACATGGACGGCCTCTGAAATGTTTTCTCTGTCCAGAAGGTTTGTTTATATTGTGTAGACAGAGAAAGGTTTATTCTGGACTTTTCTGAGCTTCATGAGATACTGGGAGAGGATGTAGGATCTACACAAAGCAGTAACCAGATGAGACAAGCCAAGCACATCTCCTACTGGTGCTTATGCTGGCAAGCTGCCATAGACTGTGTTGCAAAGGGTGAGGGCTTCTTTCTGATTATAGTTGTTAAAATCAAATTCCTATCTAAACTTTGGTTTCCTCCAGTTATTTTTCATCTGCCTTTCTCCTGTTGAGCTCCACGTTGAGCACACGAAGTTCCTTCACGGGTTTATAGTCTCTCTTGTTTTAGGTGAGGACCAGTACAGTGATCATAATCCTACACCTCTGGTGGCAGAAGAGAAGATTTCTTTTGGAATCAATGCCATGTGTTCATCTGTCACTACGGTCCAAGATATAAAGAGCTTCTACAATGAAGTGGATGGCCGGCTGATTGCCAAAGAGGTCACAATTTTCCCTCATTTATCGTAAACACATTTTCTCTTGTTTCAGATTGGTTTCCTACAGCAAAGTTTGTGACTTTGTCTTAATTGCGTACCTTCAGTGATTCCACCCCCCCACCCCCAGCTTCTTTTCCTATTCCTTAACTCCATTCTACTCATGGTTTTGTTTTCATCTGTGGAGACTAATAGATAGGGTAGTGTGAACACAATGTTAAAAGACTTTCTTGAAACAGCAACAGAAGCCATAGTTTTCAGGTCTAATGATAATTTGTTGCAGTCTGTGATTTCTTAATGCCTTCACAATGACCTTTCACATGCTATTCTAGCATTCTTGCTAATGCCAGGCCTACTGACATGTCAAAGTAATGGGGTTGTGCAATACTTTTAGGTGGGTGAATGTTTGTCCTAACAATCAACTTTGAAAGAAAAAAAAAAATGGTTTTCATAGTCTAAAAGTAATAAAATAATCTAAAGGATTAGAGTGTCTGCTTGTTACTTTGTGTCTCCCCAATACTACCGCATTTTTTCTTAGGATGTGTCTTTTGTCTGTTTTAGATTGGGATTAACTCTCGGGACAGTTCAACTCCAATATTCCTGGCTAAGAATATTGCTGGACATCTCTCAGGTTCCTTGCGGACTATTGGGTCAGTTGCTGTGGGCCAATATGGTAAATGCACTATGCCTTAACGTTTCGTATTTTTGAGAAGTTGGGCCTTTCTCTGTCCAATAGCAGATTTAGTCCACGTAACTTCCTGGTAGAGTAACTCTGCAATTTCCTAGGGATAAGAGTGTTCCAGTCCTATCCAGCAGCTACTAGCCTGAACTTCATTGGAGGCCCTGCCATTCTCCTGGGTCTCATTGCTATGGCCCGTGATGACCACACCATGTATGCAGCTGTCAAAGTCCTGAACTCCATCCTGAACAGCAGCCCAATGAGTGAAAAATTGATGAGTCATATGGGTGGATACCAGGTAGATACTCTTTTGTTCGTTCATTCTGGGTATAATCTTGTCCCAAAACCTGTCAGTGGCAATGAATAAAGCATATCCTGGCTATCAGCCCTTATGGTTGGAACTTTGTAAGTTATGAGATCTTTGAGAGGGGGATATAGGATAGTGCCCTAAATCCTGTGCTTACAATCTCTGCGAACCTCTGTAACAGTGTATCTGCTGATGGGAAGGTGAGGACAGATGCTTCTTGGTCAGATGTGATCTAATAATGGAAGGTGTCATGCTGCCCATATTAAGATGACCATAGTTAGTAAAGTCAATGCAGCAGATTTGAGTGACCCACCCTTCACCTTTTACCAACGCGCTTGATCCCTCCCACAACAGACCACTTCTCAGGCAGGTCTGCTTCCTCCCCTTGGCTTATCCAGCCGAAGATTCCTCTTTACAGACTACCCAGTGTAGGGCTGACAATGAATTTCTGTGGCTCAGTCTTCACTGTGTATTAGAAATTGCGCTGATATAAGTAAGTGCTGTCTGGATTTCAAACAATATTGATTAGATCTGTCCTAAATACAACTTTCAAACCTGAAAGCTGTGCAGACTGAAGAGTTTGGTTGTCTCAGGGCTTTGGGAGAACCAGGGCAAATTTTAAACACTATATATGTAATATTGGATGGGTTAAGGCTCAAGTATGAAGTTTCAGTTCAGTATCATTTACTTTATGCTGTGTAGGCTAAGCAGAGTCTTATGGAATAGAGAAGACTCTTTAACAGAGATGGTTCCAAACAAGATTCTTAACATTAGGTCTTCATGAATGATGTATTATAAACTTTCTATTTTCCCAATTTGTGAATTGTTCATAAATTGATCCTGATTCATATGAACATATTTGTCATACTTAGATATTGTTTGCCCAATCCTTTGTTGTAGGTGAACGCCAGCCTTTAGATTGTGTACGAGCTGTTCCTTTCAACTTTGTGCTAGATAGTGTGCTCTCCATGTGACTGATCATCATGTTGCAATGGAGTAGTTTTGCTCTTTGTTTGGATGTCTGAACCTTTTTTTTTAAAGAGCCAACTAATAAAAATGTGTCTTGATATGTATTTTCAAATGAATGTCTATTCCTCCCAAACTATTCAAAATGTAGTGGTTTTCTGAACATTTTTTATCACTGTATCAGGAATTCATTGAATAATCAAAGATAGACTCAGTTGAGAAACTGGCAATGTTTCACAGAAATGTCTTTCATTTGAAGAGGTCAACATTAATATTTTTTTTAAAGTAACACCATTTGCATGCAACTAATAATACATCCATGAAGAATAGTGTAGAAAAACCTGCTGTGATTATTTACAATTTTACTTGTATGTTGCTTTTTGTAAATTCCATTCAACATAAATTGGCATGTATTTTGCTCCTGTTCAATACCACAGCGTTGTCAAACTACTTCAAAAACTTACCCTTTCACTTACTGCACCAAATTTTATGCCTGGACTGAAATCTTCACTTTCTTCATGATGCTTTTCTAAGATGTATGCGTGCATGACTGCTACAGCCATATAAACTGTGCATTTCTCTTGAATTAAAAAATAATGTTATACATTAGTTTATAAACACATATTTTAACTCAGCAGATACTTATTCAATCTTTTTTTCAGTTGCTGACCTATCTGTTGAAGAGGAAGACACAGCTGTTAAACAACAGGATTTTACAGTTAATGTTCTCCCTAGTGGGCACAGCTGAGCTTGGCTTTGAGTCTTCAGTCATCAAGAATTATGGTGCATTCCACTATGTTCTCTGCAATTTCGAGGTAAAACTGTTGATGTTACTTTGTGGGTTTGGCTGTATTAAAGATGGCTTTATAGTATGAAGTTTCGTTTGTTCATAACACCTCCTGCATCCAATATTTGGGATGGGGTGGTGTGTGGTGATTTTCCACACTGTGGCTCACCTGGAGTGGTGGTCCTGGAACAGCAGGTCCTCTGTCACCATGGCTCCCTACTGTGCCCTGGTGCAGTTTTCGGAGTGTTTCTGCAGATCCTGAAGGCCTGCTCCTCAGGGCTTGCTCAGGAGCAGCAACTCCTCACACTGACAGGGATTTCCCAGTGCTTACAAGTTGTCATTGCAGAAATGACTGAGAGTTTATGATGTTATCCTCCCTGAACTACTTGTAAATGCTTCTCTGCCCCCTTAGTTACTGTCCCCTCAGCTCAGCAGAGCAGTAAAACCTCTGCTTTCCTTTGTCTTTCAGCTTTGGATGAAAGCACCAGAAAACCTTGACCTTGCTCTTTTTTCACATCTTGTGGAGATCTTGCAGTCCTCCAGGTACACAAGCTAGTGTTTGAATTGGAAACATGGGATAAGTTCATCTGTAACCTGAAGCTGCAACTGAGAGGTGCATATGAAGGGTCCAATCCTAGTTGGAATCAGTGGACTCTGGGTGTGAATCATTCCTGTATTGCTCTTTCAAGGCTGGAGTTAGTGATTTGATCAGTCCCTGAGATGACTGTGAGGCCAGATGGAGAAAAAGTTATCTGGTGACCTGGTTCACAGGGAACCACTGCTGTACAATGAAAGTTTAAATGTCTTCTGGAGAGTGGAAATCTGAATGTTTAAATTGAGTATGAAATAATAAGAGAAAATATAAGTGAAGTTGTGTTTAAAAGCCAAACACAACACAGGAAGACTTTTTTATAACAGTATACTTAATCAGCTGTACTACAGTTAAATGTATCTGAAGAGACAGCATGGCAGAGGGGCTGAGTAGAGCAGGATGCTAGATTCCTTCTTTTTGGTACTAGAAAGCTCTGTGCAGAGCTGCCTGGTGTCCCTTGCTGAGTTTTACAAGAATAGCATTTATCACCACCAACTCACTGCTTGAAAATTCAATAATGTTGTTTTCTTTGAAGTTGTTGAAATGCTACAGTTTCTGGGGGAGAGGGCAGATGGGAAGGGTAGAGAACACACAAACAAGTCTTCAGATCTCCATCGCTGACACATATTCAATTTATCTGACAGTGTTTGAAATGTTGCCAAGGCAACATTAGAAGCCAAAGGTGCAAAATATCAGTGTAACCTGAGAATCCTTTTAGCTGAAACCCAGCAAATTTGGTTCTTTCCGGTAAAAGCTTTTAATAGTCCCTGTGCTTTGTTACAGACATGGATGTCAGAATGCTGCAGTTGCCTACCAGGTGCAAATGGTGCCCAAGCTCATTTTCCTCTTCAATGATCCTGAAATCAGTAACTCCAGGATCACTGTGGCCTGCACTATTCTCTCCCATCTGTTGCAGGGATACTTTAACACAAGGGATGTTCTCAGGTAACCTTCAAGTCTGTAGCTTTTTCTCAGTTTGCAGATGAGCTATACTGCTGCCAGTGTTGGAGAGAGCTCTATAGTAGAACTTTCTTCACCTCATCTTTGGTAGGAGCCCCCAGATCTTTGGCAACTGCAGGATCCCCACTGACAAAAAACTTTCATGCCTTCAAAACAAAGTTCAGTCCAACCTTATATGTATGTGAGGATGGGTTGCATGATGACCCTTACAATGATGGCACAAACAGTTCTGCTGGTATGACTGGGACTACTCAAAGCCTGTACTTAATATTTGGTTTCATTAAAGCCTGCCCTAAAGTATCGCAGTTGCTGTAGTATTGCAGCTTGGCCCCAGTCAACTACATACCTAATCCTGTTGGCTTGGCTTATATCCCAGTAGCTATGCTTTTTGTTCTTGAATTTCAATCAGTTAATGTATGTTAGTCAGGATTTCATGAAGCAAAGAATTTAAATCCTTGTTTGCTATCCACAGAATGTAAGCACTGCTCCATTTTATATTCTTAGCCTAGTTGCATCTGCTTGTAGCCTATGAACTGAGGAAGGTCCGCACAGTGCTGTCTACAGCCACCTAACTCCAGGGAGATGCACTGCACAGATGACAGCTCTGTTTTTTAAAGCTATTTGTCCAAATAAAATGTAGAAACAGAGTTGCATGTTGAATCTGTGGTCTCTGCAATCAGCCTTTAGCTCTGTTGAAGAGTACAAGCACCTCAAGTAGTTACTGTGGAGTAAGCTAATACGTGAACTTACTGCTTGCCATCTGTTTTGTGGAATTACCTGTATGTATGTTCCTACCCTGGGCTTGTATGAGTTAGCCTATTCTTTTTTTCATACAGGTGTGATTTAGTATATCAAATTTGCCATGTGGTAAGGAGTGTGAATGAGCACTTTTCTTAAAATATCATAATTTGTTATTCCACAGTAATTTGATTGGTTGTCAGGTCCATGAGTGCTGAACGAGTGGATAAAGACAGTCCCTATCCTTCCAGCTCCAGGAGAGCAGAGACTATAGCAGGCTCTCAGCAGTGCTGAAAGGTGCTGGGGTTTCTGCTGGTCCCAGACTTTTGACACATCTAGTGGAAATTGCTGTGTGGGCCATTCCTACAGAATAAGTGGTGTTCTGTCCCTTAAGAAATGCCCTTCTTGTGGGCAGGAGGAGGTTATGCACTTTCGCTAAGTGTGTATGTCATGCTAATCTACCTATCCTTAGAACCAGGTAATGTGTTAAAGCAAACTACAGGTGAAAAGAGATTGCCAGTTGTCCTTCCTGAGTAGCTGCTGAGGTTTCTCTGTTCTCTATGTGCTTGGAAACCAAGTGGTGACAACAGTGATATCTGAATGCCATGAAGAGTTCAGAATCTTTTGTATGAACGGAGCGCTTAATTCGGTATTGCTTTCCTCATGGTGAAAGACCTTTTAAAATCAAAAGATAAAGAGAAAAATAGTTTCCATAGTAGAATAGATATTACTTGTATTTGTAGATAGATGTCCTTTTTATTTGCTTCCTAGTTTGCAAACTTTTGCATTCCTATTTCAACCCTATTTCTGCAGCCGTTAGAATTTCTAGTGCTTGTCGTTAACAGTCATTGTTAGTGAGTATTGACATTTGCATGTAATCGCAAAGTAATTAAATGAATGTCTGTCTTTCTGCTGACCAAAAATGGTTCCCTCTTTCTCTGCAAGGATTGGATTGTTCCTTGTTTACACTTTGAAACCTTCTTCTGTGGATGAAAATCAGATTTGTCTGGACGATGTGGCTGAGATGCCCAATGGAGGTGAGGAGCTACCTTTGGTGTATGTGTTCTGATAGATAACTGAAGTACTTCCCTTCTTCCCTGGGGCATGATGAACCCTAAATGCAACACAGTGCTTCTGCCTCTAGTGGCAGAGCTACAAGAGACACAATTCAAATTACTTCATCTGGAAAGGGACAGGCTGCGTTGAGGTAACCTGAAATGGTGGGGAAAACTTATATTGCTGCAAAGGCATGATGTGAAGAATAGTGAAGTGACAATCACTGTCTATATCCAGGAAGGCCTGACCTACAACAAGATCCTCCTCCTGCTAAGGGAGTTACCCTTTTGTCCTCTCTCTACTAGTAAGCCAGCAGTACTTTGGCTGCATTGTCCAGCACCCATACAGTGTTGGATTTCACAGACATACACAGAGATGAAGGCCATTAAATTGAAATTGCCCCAAAACTAATGTACAGGGCTGTTATGAGGAATAAAATTTCACTTGGCATCCTGGATTTTCTGTGAACACTTTGCTACGCTTACAGTTTGTTGTGGTTTAACCCGGCAGGCAGCTAAACACTACACAGCCATTTGCTCACTGTCCCCCTCCCCAGTGGGATGGGGGAGAGAATCAGAAAAAAAAGAAAGTAAAATTTGTGGATTGAGATAAAGACAGTTTAATAGGACAGAAAAGGAAGGGAAAATAATAATAATGATATACAAAATGAGTGATGCACAATGCAATTGCTCACCACCTGCTGACTGATACCCAGCCAGTTCCTGAGCAGCGATCACAGCCTCCTGGCCAACTCCCCTGTCCTGGTTTCAGCTGGGATAGAGTTAATTTTCTTCCTAGTAGCTGGCATAGTGCTGTGTTTTGGATTTAGTAGGAGAAGAATGTTGATAACACACTGATGTTTTTAGTTGTTGCTAAGTACTGCTTACTCTAGTCAAGGACTTTTCAGCTTCCCATGCTCTGCCAGGTGCACAAGAAGCTGGGAGGGGGCACAGCCAGAATAGTTGATCCAAACTGCCCAAAGGGCTATTCCATACCATCATGCTCATATTCCATGACACCATGCTCAGTATATAAACTGTGGGGGGTTGGCTGGGGAGCA